GGATTGGAAACTATTAAAAACATCAGTGGGTGACCATTGGAGGACACTGTAGAAATTATTAAATTTTCCACTGTGGTTACATCATCACAATTACCCAGGAAATCTGCATACACTTATAGGTGAAGTGGCACGATATTTACAACTTGCCACAAATGATACAGAAATAACTTATAATACGCAAATGTAAAGAGTCTAATTGCGGGGACACAATTAGAGCCAGTCCTATACACTCATCTAGCAGGCTCAAGGTCCTGGATGTGATATCCAGAACCATAAAAAAGACAGGGAGGCTTCCAATGAAATGGCTAAAGCAAATGACCTGAATGTAAGCATGTAGGAATGAGTTACAATATATTTGTTTCAAGTTTTCTGTATGTTAACTAAAAATATTGATTATAAATTTAGGAAAAGTTCTAAGAGAACTTAATTTTCACTATCCCATTATTAATTCCTACTTTATCTTAAATTATGAATATACAATATGAATTATTGGCTACTATTTAAATTATACATAGTAAATATACTTGTATTTCCAAAATTATGTAAAATTTAAGATGAATGGATCTAAACAATCTGTTCTAAATTAGAATCTTTCAGATACACTAGTAATACAAATAATGATTTCAGCACAAAACTATATGCCAATAGTCTTCCAAGTGATATATACTAACTAGTTTAATCCCAATAAAGGCACTGTCAGATAGGTTCTCTTTTGTTTCTTGGTTTTGAAATAGGTTCTTGTTATGTAATTTAGGCTGGCTTTCAACTTGTAGCCATCCTCCTGCCTCAGCCTCCCAAGTGCTGGCATTACAGGTGTGTACCACCATGCCTGGGTTCATGTAGGTTCTTTAAAAAAATTCTTTTAAAAAACCTTTCATTTATTTTTTTTGTACAGGGTCTCACTACACAGCTTGGATTCATAGTGATCCTCCTGTCTCCTGTGGATATATTTTTAAAACATCACCATTGACACTCTCAGTGAATTATTTATATTCTGGCCACATGCAAAATATGCTCCAGAAATCAACTAGTTTCATCCTTTACAGGACCAATCTTCAGTCTAGAATTTCCTCATCCAAGTCCACTGTGGATGAGAATAGCTTTCTGCTCTCACTCTCACTGTCTAAGTGCACTGGTCTGGTTTTTGTTGTTGTTACTACCTGGAATACTTGAGGCAGCCTAGTTTTATAAAGAAGTTTACTTAGCTCACAATTTTGGAGGTTTAAGGCACAGTGCTGGCCACTTTTCAGCTCAGGTGAGAATTTCATGGTCAATGTTATCCCAATAGTGGCAGTGTGTGTGGGAAGACGAGATCATGTCTAGGAAGCCAGAAAGTGCCTGGATTCCACAATCTCTGTGGTTCATACTCTTTTTTGAGGGCACAGCCTCAACTGACCTGAAGACCTTCCTGGGGGCTCCACCTCTTAAAAGTTCTATACAACCTCTGTACTATCAGACTGGGGACCAAAATACTAAGACATAAACACTTGGTGGGGGTACTTACATGATATCCAAACCATAGTGCACTAATCTAAGAACCAGTGTGAGTGAGTCTGCTACAGCAGATTCTTCATCCCCAGTCAAGTCTCCACCTGACCTCAACCTCATGGAAAATCCAACAGAACCTGATGCTGTTTATTGTGGAGGTGTTTATTAGTGTAGTAAGAGTTGAGGTAATTTGTGACACAGCCACTGATGTCAGTATGGAAGGTTTTTAGTCATTCATTTAATAAATTTAGAAAAAAATCCATGTCATGGATGTTACACAAGAAGAAATTGAGATTCCTATTTTTCTTAATTTGTCAATGAATAGTCACATAATAAAAGATACTAGATTACTCTTTCTTTCTTCTCATTACTGAACCAAGAACCTTTGCATTGAGTCATATCTCCAGCCTTTTAATTGGAAACTGGGTCTTGTCGAGCATGGTGGCATATACCTGTAATCCCAGTACATGGGATGCTGAGCAGAAAAATCACTCCAAGTTTGAGGCCAACATGGGCCTCACAGTGAGACCCTGCCTCAAAAAATAATATAAGGAAGGAAGGAGGAAGGAGAAAGGAAGAAGAAAGAAGGAAGAACGGAAGGAAGGAAAGAAGGAAAGAAGGAAGGAAGGAATTCCTTAAATTACCCAGGTTGGGCTTGTGATCCTCCTGCCTCAGTTTCCTAGAACGCTGGGATTATAGGTATGCACTACCATGTTTGAATGCTTTATAATATGGCATTTACTGCATTATAAAGTCTTTTATTTGATGAAGCTATACCTGACTAATAATAGTCAATCATTTCTCACCAAAATGAATTGTCAGATGCTGAAAAAGTTTGAGCCATCTCCAAAGATATTCTCACAGTCCTTCAATTTGTAAACCTGTATGAATTCCTTGATGTGCTTTAAGGGCTGATCCATATCTGAAGGTCTTCCCACACTGCTCACAAACATAGGGTTTCTCACCAGTATGAATTCTTTCGTGTTGAACAAGGTTTGAAGATCGAATAAAGGCCTTCCCACATTCCTTACATTCATGAGGTTTCCTACCAGCATGAATTTTCTGATGTTGTGTAAGGTATCCACACATTTTAAAGGCCTTCCCACATTCTTTACATTCATAGGGTTTCTTATCAGCATGAATATTCTGATGTGCCATGAGGTGTGAACTACGTCTAAAGGTCTTCCCACATTCTTTACATTGAAAAGGTTTCTCATCAGTATGAATACTCTGATGTAGAGTTAGATTTCTACAGAAAGTAAAGGTTTTTCTACATATCTTACATTCATAGGGTTTCACACCAGTATGGATTTTCTGGTGTTGATTAAGATATCCATGCAAGCTAAAGGCCTTCCCACATTCCTTACACTCATATGGTTTCTCACCAGTATGAGTTTTCTGATGTTGAATAAGGTTTGAGCGAGTAGTATAGGCCCTTCCACATTCCTGACATATAAAAAGTTTCTTACCAGTATGAATATTCTGATGACGAGTAAGATTCCTATACAAAGTAAAAGTTTTATTACAGTCCTTGCATTCAAAGCGTTTCATACCAAGATGAATTTTCTGGTGTTGACTGAGGTATCCATGCAAACTAAAGGCCTTCCCACATTCCTTACATTCATAGGGTTTCTTGCCAGTATGAGTTTTTTGATGTTGAACAAGGTTTGAGCGAGTAGTATAGGCCCTTCCACACTCCTGACATTCAAAAAGTTTCATCCCAGTATGTATATTCTCATGACGAGTAAGATTCCTATATGAACTAAAGGTTTTTTTACACTTCTCACATTCAAAGCATTTCAAACCAAGATGAATTTTCTGATGTTGTCTGAGGTATGCATACAAGCTAAAGGCCTTCCCACATTCCTTACATTCATAGGGTTTCTCATCAGTATGAGTTTTCTGATGTTGAAAAAGTTTTGAGCCAGTAGTACAGATCTTTCCACATTGCCTACATTCAAGTTTATCACCAGTATGAAGATTCTGATGTCGAACAAGATTCTTATATAAAATAAAAGTTTTTTTACACTTCTTGCATTCATATGGTTTTCCACATTTATGAATTTTCTGATGTAGAATAAGGTATGAGGCAGAGTTATAGCCCTTTCCACATTCTTTACATTCATATGGTTTTTTGCCAGTGTGAATACTCTGATGTACAGTAAGTTGACGATCTCTTCTAAAAGCCTTTCCACATTTCTCACACACATATGGTTTCTCATTAATATGAATTTGCCTATGTGCAACAAGATTGGAGCACCTACTAAAAGCTTTCCCACATTCCTTACATTTATAGGGTTTTTCACAAGTATGAATTCTCTGGTGATTTCTAAGATGGCCAACTTGACTAAAGGCTTTCCCACATCCCTGACATTCATAAGGCTTTGCACCAGTGTGAATTCGCTCATGTTGAATGATGTGTGAAGAATAAATAAAGGCCTTGCCACATTCTCGACATTCATATGTTTTCTCACCAGTATGAAATCTCTGGTGTACAGTAAGTTGATAGCCACTTTTAAAATTCTTCCCACACTCTGTACATTCATAGTATTTCTCACCAGCATGAAATCTCTTATGTAGTGTCAGCTGATAGCCACTGCGACAGTTCTTCCCACATTCTTTGCATTCATAGGGTCTCTCAATATGAAACCTGTGATGCAGAATAAGCTGATGGCTGCTATTAAATTTCTTCTGACATTTCGTACATTTATAGAGTTTCTCTCTGGTATATATGCTCTGGTGTTGTGTAGAAGATTTATCTTTTTCATATGTGGGCATTTTTAGATAGCTGATTATCTTATACTGTAAATCCAAATCTGAAAAAAAATGACAAAAATATTTCTATTTTCATACCAGAGAACATGAAACTTACATAAAAATAAGAAACAATAGTCGTAAGTGAATAGCTTATAGAATTCTAAAATACAGATATAAAATTTGAAAAAGGCCAGCAATTCAGAGATATACAAGAATTTATATAACACAGGAGGTTACTAAGGACCTAGGTAATATTAGAACCTTTGACAAACTTATAATAAACCTGATGTCTTGAAATTGTTAGATATGAGATGAATTATAATTAAGAGAAAAACCTTGGGGTCATAGATATAGCTCAGTGGCACAGTGCTTGCCTGGCAAGTGCAAGGTCTAGAGTTTAATTCTCAGTTACTCACACCACCCCCTCAAAAAAGAACCCTTGACATCATTACTTTGAACCATCACTAGAATGAGATACACATGGACCCAAGGCAATGGAAATATATAGGGGACTCCATTTTGCAATGTGTGAAAACAGGTGAAACAATACAACATTCTATGACCTCAAAAACACTAGTGAAAAGAACAACATCAGAAAACAAGGGGTCGGGGAGACGGCTCAGTGGAATAAGCACTTGCCTGGCAAACGCAGGGGCCTGAGTTCAATCCCTGGTTCCACAAAAACAAAACAAGACAAAACCAAAAACACTGTATCTGGGAAAACAAAGGCTCCCTATCAACTAAATGCTCATTCAATACGCACTGTGAGACAAATGAATACCTCTGACTTGCAGCCAGTCGTGGTGGCACACACCTGTGATGCCAGCATGTTGGGAGGCTGAGGCAAAAAGATCACAAGTTCCATCCCTGCTGGGCAGCTTAGTGGTTTAACAAGATCTTGTCTCAAAATAAAAGAATTAAAAAAGGACTAGATATGTAACTCTGTGAAGGTCCTTGGATCAATCTCATGTGCCATTGGAAAAAAAAAAAGGTCAGGAAACAGAGGCAGGAGCTTTCTCATGTGTTTGAGGCTAGCCTAGGCTACATAGTTCAAGCCATCCTGAACTACAGTGGAAAACCCTGTCTCAAACACCAAGAAAAACAAGAAAAAAAATCTTTGTTATACTAATAAAATAATAACTGAAATGAGAAATAAAGACAGGCAAAAAGATAAATGAAGCCTATACTTCAGTAGTATAATAACTATATTACAAAGAGAAAAGTTATTTCAATACAAATTAAATCTAGAAAAAAGATTCTAAACAAATAAACAAGGCAACTCTTTAAAAGATGCAATCGAAACTGACAGGAAAAAAAGGAAAGAGGACAAAAGCTAAAGAAATTTTATGGGATGGGAATGTAGTCTAGTAGCAGAGAATGTTCCTAGTATGTGAGTGTATAAAAAACCTCAAGTACAATCCAAAGCACAAAAAAAAAAAAGAAAAGAAAAAGAAAAAGAAGAAGAAAGAAAAAGAGAAACATATTTACATGTAAAATAAATTTGAAAACATAATAGTTACCTAAGAAAATATTCGATCAAAACTATGAAAGACAAAAAGCTTTAACAGACAAATTATTTTCAATCATTTCAAAAGGCTAGTACCAAAAGCACTTAAACATTGTTATCTCTCATATTACCCACTAATACAAAAGTACTTAGCTCTAAACATTCACTACTAAAATAGGATAACATCTTAATATCTTTGAATAATATCCTTGATTCACATCATTATTTCTCAGTACTCCCCATATGAGGAACTCCTCAAAGAGATGCTTGATTGCAAGAATAGGGGCAGGGAAAACACAAGATAAATCTTAGACTCTTAGGTCAAAGAATTAAAGAATTTATGGCTTTGTTAAATACATATAGCTGAGTTTGAGCTGTAATAATTATATTGGATTAAATAAGCAAATGAAAAATAGATAAATCCATAATGTTAAGTTGTGTTTATATTTTCTTTTGATTATAGATACTGTTCAATTTCCTCTTTAACCTCATCTGAAAAGAATTAATGCCAATACTTTTCAAATTCTTCATTGAGGGGCTGGAGAGATAGTTCATCAGCATAAGTGTCTGTTAGGCAAGCAAAAGGTCCTGAGTTTGATCCTCGGAACCAATAAATAAATAAATAAATAAATAAATAAATAAATAATTTTTTATTGAAATTGAAAGGAAAGTAATTCTAACTCATTCCTGGAGACAAGTATTACCCTGATACTAAAACAAGAGACACAAACAAGAAAAATACAATAAGTCAATCTCCCTAATGAACATATATGCAAAAACCCTCAATAAGATACTAGCAAACAGAATGGAGCAGATCATCAAGAAGATGACACAAGGCCAGCCAAATAGCTCAGAGGATTAAAGCACCTGTTTAGGCAGACACAGTGTCCGGGAGTTTGATCCCCTGGCCAGCCCAGCCTCCAGGGTGTGCTCAGACAGTGATTAAGACTGGGCTGGTGGCACTTGCCTGTAATCCCAGCACTTGGGAGGCTGTAAACAGGAGGATCACTGTGAGTCCGATCTATGCAGTGAGACTCAGTACATCCGTATACCCTGTCCTAAATACAAAAAAAAAAAAAAAGAAAAGAAGAAGATCATGCAATATGACCAAGTGGGATTCACCCCAGGAATGCAGGAATGGTTCAACATATGCTAATCAATAAACATACCATATCAACAGAGCCAAAGACAAAAATCATATGATAATCTCAATAGATACAGAAAAAGCTTCTGACAAAGTCCAACATTCATTCATGATAAAAACCCTGCAGAAATTGGAATATGTGGTCTCTATCTCAAACTGACAAAAGCCATCTATGACAAATCAACACTCAATATCATACTAAATGGACAAAAATGGAAAGCTTTCACTCTAAAATGAGGAACAAGGTAAGTATGTCCACTATCATCATTCTTTTTCAATACAGTTCTGGAAATACAAACCAGAACAATTAGATAAGAGAAAAGAAATAAAAAGGAGTGAGAATAGGAAAGAAAGCAGTTAAATTAGAAGATGACACGATATTCCACAGAGAAGACCCACAAAACCCCACCAAAAGACCTCTAGATTTAAAAACCAAGTTAAGTAGCATAGCTAGATACAAGTCAACACTCAAAAATCAACAGCATTCCTGTCAACAAAATATAAACTCACAGAGAAAGAAATTATGTAAAGTACATCCTTTGCAAAAGTATCCAAAAAAGGGTTTGGATACTTAGGGTTTTTTTTAGGTTTCACTTTTTTATTTTTATGTATTTGGTACAAGGTCTCACTATGCAGCTCACACTTGTAGTGATCCACCTGTTCTCAGTCTCTGCAGCTCTAGGATTATAGGCATGCACCACCATGCCTGGTCTGGGGGGCTCGTTCAGCAGATGCAGGGGCAGAGCCGGTGCGGCATGTGCTGCTGGGGATCAAACCCTAGTCCTTGTGTTTGCCTAAGCAGACGCTTAGTCCACTGAGCTATCTCACCAGCCCCAAAGAAATATTTATGAATCAATCTAACAACAGAAGTAAAAGATCTATAAAGTGAAAATTGTAGTATTCTGAAAAAGGAAATTGAAGAGGATATCAGAAAATGGAAAGATAGCCCTTGTTCATGGATAGGGAGATCCAATATAGTGAAAATGGCCATGCTTCCAAAATTGTTGTACAGATTTAAGGTAATCCCAATCAAAATACCATTAGTATACCTCATAGAACTAGCAAAAACACTCCTAAAATTTATTTGCAACCAAAAGAGACCTAGAATAACAAAGGCAATTCTGAGGAACAAATACAAGGCAAGAGGCATCACAATCCCAGACCTCAAATTATACTACAAAGTTAGTGTGATAAAATCAGCATGGTATTGACCAAAAAATCCCAAACAAACAAAACAACTGACCTAGGGCCAGCCAGATAGCTTAGCGGACTAAAGCGCCTGCTTAGACAGAGTGCAGCAGCCAGGGTTCATAGCCAGAGTGCAATGCCGGCCCAGCCCCCATGGCATGCTGAGACAGTGATTGAGACTGGGTGTAATAGTATGCACCTCTAATCCCAGCACTTGGGAGGCTGAAAACAAGAGAATCACTATGAGTTCAATCTACACAGTAAGACCCTGTAGACCCTGCAGACCCTTTACTAAATACATTAAAAAAAAAAACAACTTAAAGATCAATGGAACAGATTAGAAGATGCAGATCTAACTACAAACACACTCAGCCACCTTATCTTTGACAAAGGACCCAAATATGTTCACTTGAAGAAAGTCTCTTTAATAAATGGTGTTAGAAAAAGTGGCTTTCCACATGCCAAAGACTAAAACAAGATCTATGTCTATCACCATGCACTAAAGTCAAAATGGATCAAAGATCTAAATATTAAAACAGAAACACTAAATCTAGTGAAAGAGATTTCTTCTAGAAATCTTGAAGACATAGGTATAGGCTGAGACTTCATGAACAAAACCCAAACTGAAAGATTGCATTTGGAAATACGCCAAAGAATCAACAACTAGGATCTTATCTTATTAAAAAGCTTTGTATATAAAAAGAAATCACCAACAGAGTGACGAGACAACCCACAGAGTGGGGAAAAATTTTAGCCAACAGTTCCTCAAAGGACTTATGTCTAGAACATATAAAGTATTGAAAAAAATCAGACTCCCCAAAGTCAAAGATTCAACTCAAAAATGAGTATCTGAGATGAATACACATTTCTCAGATGAAGAAATACGGATATCAAATAATATATGAAAAAATGTTCAATATCACTAGTCATTCAAAAGATGCAAATTAAAACAACACAGAATGCATCTCACCCCAGAAAGAATATCTTTTATCAAAAAATTAACCTATAATAAATGCTACAAAGGTTGTGGGTGAAAAGATACCCTTCTTCACTGTTGGTAGGAGTGTAGATTGGTACAATTGTGGTGGAAATCAGTGTGAAGATTCCTCAAAAAACTAGGATTAGAGGTCCTGTTTGACCCAGTTATTTTCTTCCTGGGTATCTTCCCAGAATAATTAAAAACATCATAGCACAGTGATATCTGTGCACCCATGTTTATA